GAAGGAAGGAAGGAAGGAAGGAAGGAAGGAAGGAAGGAAGGAAGGAAAGAAGGCAGGCAGGCAAAGGGGTAGGCAGGTGGAAGGGAGGGAGGGAAAGAGAGAGGGAGGTAGTAAAGAAGGAAAGGAGGCTGGTTGGTTTGATTAGCTGTTGAACAAAATTCCACATAGAAAGTAGCTTACTAAGTCTCTATCTTTTAGTTCTGTTTATTTCAAAGGTTTGTGTGTTTTGTCAGGGTTTTGCTTTCAGTGTTACCACTAATTTTATTTCTATTGATTTAGTGGTTAAGTGACTTTCCCAAGTTTGTAAAGTGCTAAATAATTGGGCCTTGAAGAAAACTTTAGCTTACCTCTAAATTTTAGAGAATAAGCCATTTTTATATCAGGGACTTTTTCTGTTAAACTTACTGCCTTAAAAACATAGAAGTAAATTTGAGAACACATTATTTCATTGGTCAGGTGATATCCAGCAAAATCATATATAGCAAAATTTTGAGTTACATTTGACTTATTTTTGTTTGATGTATATGTTATAGATGAGTCTTAAGGGACTGAATTTATATTTGAAAATAAAACAAACTTTGGTCAAAGAAACAAAATTACAACTATGAGTTTTTAAGCCTCACTAGGCACTGGATGGTGAAATGCATGAGGCAGCAAGTATTTTTCTATATTCTATAAGTGACCCTTACAAAAACACACAATCCTTTGAAATAAACAGAGCTGAAAGATATAGACTAGTAAGCTACTTTCTATATGGAATTTTGTTCAACAGCTAATCAAACCAACCAGACTCCTTTCCTCTTTATTTCCTCCCTCTCTTTCCCTCCATCCTACCCATCCACCCACCTACACATCTGTCTGCCTGCCTTCCCTCCTTTCCTCCTTTTCTCCCTCCCTCCCTCCCACCCATCTTTCTTTCTTTCCTTCCTTCCTTCCTTCCTTCCTTCTTTCCTTCCTTCCATCCATCCTCCCTCCCTCCCTTCCCTCCCCCCTCCCTCCCTCCCTCTCTCCCTCCCTCCCTCCCTCCCTTCCTCCCTTCCTTCCTTCCTTCTTTCCTTCCTTCCTTCCTTCTTTCCTTCCTTCCTTCCTTCCCCTCACAAATGCATCTTTAGCATCTCCTACATTCCCCATGCTATGCCAGCTGCCTGCTGGTAGTCAATGGTGAACACAATTGTGCCCAAAGGGAGCTTACAACTGAATGAACCCAAAACTAAAACTTAAAGGTAATAAGAAATTTGACCGGACTTACATGTGTTTAAAGTATCAGGGCAATAAGAAGAAAAGGAATAGAAAATATTTACAGAAATGAAAAATAACTTGAGCTCTTAATTAAGAAAAAATGTATATAATTAAGAAGAAGGTGGCCAGGTATGAAGTTCATGCCTGTAATCCCAGCACTTTGGGAGGCCAAGGAGAACAGATCTCTTGAGCCTAGGAGTTGGAGACCAGCCTGGGAAAAATGGCTAGACCCCATCTCTACAAAAAAGAGAAAAGTTGGCCAGGCATGGTGGTGTGCATGCCTGCAGTCCTAGCTACTTGGGAGGCCGAGGTAAGAGGATCACTGGAACCTGGGAAATCGAGGCTGCAGTGATTTGTTGTGCCACTACACTCCAGCACTCCAGCCTGGTTGACAGAGTGAGTGAGAACCTCTTTCTGTCTCTCTCTCTCTCTCTCTCTCTATATATATATATATTTTTTCTCTGTCTATGTATATATATATATATATATACACACACACACACATACATATACATACATATACATATATATATATACATACATTTATTATTTTCTTTCCTTTTGACATAATAAAAATGGACATTACATAAATGTTAGGCCTTGTTTGTTATGAATAAGACATTGTACTTTTCTAATAAATGGAAAAAATCTCAACCTCAATGACTCTATTTTTCATCAATTTTTTCTGATGTGCCTAGTGTAAAGTCAGCTTGCTAACTTAGCAGCAATTTGAAATGCAGGTCAAGCTCAGATGACATCACAAGAGTGACAGAGGAAACCTAATTTTAGTCTCCATGAAACTGAAGAACTCACACAAATGATGACTGAACACTCAGCCCATGTTTGGAGTTGTACACTTGCAAAGGCATCCAATCAAGAAGGAGCAAGCACTGCAGAGTCCTGGAAGAAGCTAGTGTGCCCTCAGGTGCTCCGAGAGCTGTGGAAAATCTCAGATTCAGACTATCGACTTCTCAAGTACATTCAAAGAATGTGTATTTGCAACTCTAATATAAACTCATTAAAGTAGAAGTTCAGAGAAAACAGCCAATCCAGCTATAAATAGCAGAAAGTAGCATTTTTCAAAAAAAAAAAAAGGTTAATGTTAATACTTTGTTAAAAAGCATTCTATAAAATTGTCAATACTAAGTAGAATCTAATTACTCTGGAAAAGGATTTCTCATTTAAAATCTATTAATTAAAATATGCGGCCGGGCGCGGTGGCTCAAGCCTGTAATCCCAGCACTTTGGGAGGCCGAGGCGGGTGGATCACGAGGTCAAGAGATCGAGACCATCCTGGTCAACATGGTGAAACCCCGTCTCTACTAAAAATACAAAAAAAAAAATTAGCTGGGTATGGTGGTGCGTGCCTGTAATCCCAGTTACTCAGGAGGCTGAGGCAGGAGAATTGCCTGAACCCAGCAGGCGGAGGTTGCGGTGAGCCGAGATCGTGCCATTGCACTCCAGCCTGGGTAACAAGAGCGAAACTCTGTCTCAAAAACAAAACAAAAACAAAAACAAAAACAAAAACAAAAAATGCACCAAAATGTTGATCATGTTATTTCTGGGTAATAGAATGACAGACATTTTTTTAGAGTTTCTTTTCCATATGTTTATATTTTCTACCATAAATAAAGATGACTTTTATAATCAGATTAAATAAAATACATGTTATTAAAAAACTGGAGTAGTCAAGTTTCTTTTTTTCCCACCATAAGTTTTAGGTTTTTAGTTGATTAGACTTCAAACAAAGGTCAAGAGTAAAAACTTTTGAATCATACTAAATTAAACATGTCTCATAGATATTTTGCACATTGAGGGAATATTAAGTGGAAAGACAGAGAAGGCCTGAGAGGCCAGATAGGCATACACATCATTTAACACCTATGATGGTATTATTTAAAATCAAATTATTAATAGAAGCAGCATGATGCAGTCTGCAGAAGCATAACTAGAGAAGACAAAGAAGTCTGCCTTACAGAGGCAGAAGAGGAGGCATGGCCAGGAAAAAGCAAGAGAGAGAAAGAAGCAGAGCTCTTAACAGATGTAAAGAAACCTACTTCGTGCCAGTCTGCAAGGAAATTTTCCTTTATGAAGAGCTAGATGTTTGCACAGCGCCCTCTTGTGAAGAGAGGTTTTCGTGACTGTACCTTCACCCAAGAGCCAAGAGCTTCAAGTGTCCTTCCAGAGCAATTGCTTAGCTTTCATCAGCTGAGGACTAACTTCCAAGGCTTTTTGAGGATGCATGTATGGGTATGAGTAACACACAGACTTCACATCCAAATTATCTATTATTAAATATGTACACAAATATTCCACAGAGTTGTGCTTCTTAATGATAATGCTTTAAAAAGAACTTCCTGAAATAGGAAATTAGCATCTATGTTTGTTCCCATGACTTGTGAAACTTGCTCTTTTGCTCTGATTAATGCTGTTTCTCCATTTGGTAAAAGAAAATATAAAAGTTGAAAATTGGGGACTATATTAAAAACTAAATATTGTCCATTCATCTTAAAAATACAGAGACATTTATATATGAAACTTTAGTATGCTTATGAGTTCCATTTGAAAATGCATTAGTCACCTGAAATTTCACATGATAGTCACTGACAAAAATATTACCATTTGAGTAATATGAGAATTAGAGACATTTGGTGTGCTTGATTTAGCACATTAATTAGAATAAAAATCTTTATTCGTATAAATGATTCCACTGATTTGCAATTATCTGGATAACTGCTCAGAAGGAAAAACCAAATGCTGGATATTTCTTGCAAAAAAAAACATTACTGTATATGACACAATGTATGCAAGAAGAGTTGTGTTTTATGTGATATTTTGACTCAA